AGTCGATCCACAGGCCCCGGTGGTCGGAGGCGACGTGTTCGTCAAAAGGGTAGTACCCGGCGGCCAGGATGGGCACGTCAGGCGTCGCGAAGATGCCGTCAATCGGATACCCACGGAGGTTCCGCTGATAAGTGGCCTGATGGGACCCTGGGTGCTTAGACTGGATCGCCTCGACCAGTCCTACTTCACTCATCCGAAAACGGAAAGACTTCGGGGAGTAGGAGGATAAGTCATCGTTGGCGTCGATGCCCAAGATGATAGAACAGCCGTCGTCGCGCCATTTGTTGATAGCCGTCGAGAGGACCTTGATGAAAGCCTCCCTGGGTTCAGCATCGCGGTTGGTGCGGCTGAAGTGGGCCTTATGTTGGAACCACACTGTTTGATGCCCGTCGTTAGGTGGGTTTGGACAGTAGGCAGAGATCACCACCAAGTCGCGCTGGCCAACGCCTCGTGTTTGGCCCTGAAGACGTATCCAAGCCCATCGCCCCAAGCTATCGTCGCCACTGGACCTAACTCGGTGAGATACTTTGTTGAAGGCAGAAGTCGAGCAGCCCCCAAATTGAGTGGTAGAATGGGCCGCCTGTGGTTGATGGGTGTTGTAGGCCACCGCCGAATGGAAACCTTTGCCCTTCCTAGCCATAGTGCTGGCTCGTTCACGCCATTGGTTGGTTGGTGTAATTGCTGGCCAGAATTTGTTCAATTCAGCCAGAAGTAAAAAGTCCACACATTCGCTTCGAATCCAGTGGTTGAGTTGTGCTTGTTTAGGGTCGTCCGACTCATCGGGAATAGTGTTAATATTCTAGAAGGCGAGTCGGGCGGAACCCTGTGCACGAACAAGATGGTTGTCACCAAAACCATCTCCTGGAAGGAAGGAACTTAAAAGGGAATCAAGAGAGGTGTGTGGAGCCGCTCTTGACCGGTTGCTGGTGATAAACGATCTGTGCCTGTTCCGCCGCAACCGAGCAGCAGGCGATCTTTTGTTTATCATGGACCCGTCGTGGGGGTACTGATACCCCCACGACCGGTGTCCATAGGAGAGGACGCATTGGGTTGGTCCTCCCCATCTTCTCCGTCCGTTTCATGAGCCGTCGCCGGTGGAGCACTGCCATGAACCGAGGGACTGAGTAGCGTAGTAGTGCTGACACGTGTCTGGCCTGGTGGACCTGTAGGGACGTCCACTGTGAGCATCGGAACAGGCCTAACAGTCTTAGACAACTCCGTCAAACTCCTTCAAGTTCCGGATCCACAGTTGTTGTTGGGTGAATCGGCCATCAGCAAAGGTAGAAGGACGACCTTGGAAGTGATCTCGCCCCAAATACCGGAAGCAAACTGATGGAAGGCATTGTAGGCAGTCTGGACTTGATTGAACTCGGACGAACCCACGCCCTGCCAATCAAAGACAATGGACACGTTGAAGATGGTAATGTGCCGAAAGGGAGAGGCATTCCAATGGACAGCGAGAAGGCGCATCAATCGTTCGTCGGTGGTGAGAGGAACCGTGGGAGCGGGGAGAGTGGCAACAGTGTCCCTGTAGGTTGGGGCACTATTGTGTTCCTCTGCTCCATTTTCCGCACTGGTCCTCCCACGCGGGGTGTTGGCTACCACGACGTCGTCAGCTGGAACACTGGCTTCCTGTGTTTCTGTTGGGGTGCCGGCGATGACGTGAACGGCGTCAGACATGACCACTTGTTGGCAAGGAGGAGTGGCATCCGAAGGTGGAGTTCGTTGGTAGGGTTTGGACGGACCCTTTGGTGGCGTCAGTTCCGTTTGCATCGGGACAGAGGGAGATGGGCGCGAATCGTGAGCCTTGGCACCTTTTGGATTCTCTGGAGTAGATGCAGGGCGCTTCTTAGATTTGGACTGAGCTTTGGCTATTTTCGACTCTTGTTCTAGTTGCTCAAATTCCTCCACAATGGGAGGAATGATCGCAGGGCCCGTCCAAGGATGAGCAAAGAATTCGGATGCCGCTAGCCACATCCAAGTCAACGGCTTGGCGCGTTGAACAATTAATGTCGGGTTGAACATGAGCGAAAATTCCCAAAAGCGAGGCGACTTTTCGTCCGTAGTGATAACGCGTTGGGCCGTTGCAAGATCGAACACAACCGTGGGGGACTGCTGCATTGTCAGCTGGATCTGCTGGTGGTGCCTGGATTTCTTCTCCTTCGCTGTCGCTGCTGTCTTCTTGTCCCAGACGATCGGGTGCTCGTTGTCGTCTTTGGGCACCTCTTCTTCCAGCTCGTTTGTTTGCTGACATTGTTGTTGTGCTTTATAGATGTAAAGCGCAGAGGGAGCGTGTGAATTCTTTATGGATTTAGGCTCCAGAAGTAGCATAAAAACCAATTAATGATTCAGTTCTATATAGATATATATTATGAAGATCTTTGAATACGTTGATGGAAGAACAACGTAAAGTAGATGAATTGAAAAGTTGTGATTACATTTGGGCGAGACATCATTTGTGTTGACTCGCCGTCATCGCTTGTTATTGGTTGGCTTGCGCGTAACGCATCTTCGAGTCGATTAGTTCGACTGTCATTCTTGGTTACTTTCCACACGCAACATTTTCATCTTTGCCATAAATATTTGTGTCGTACCATAAGTAATTTTCAGGCAGGATATCCATCGCTCTTTTTGCCTTAAATATTATATCGTATCATAAGTAACTTTCTGACAGTATATATTCATCACAAGACAGTATTAGTCCTATTCATCCACAATACAAAAATTACACTTTCTTGATCCTTCTTCTTTGAGAGATGCAGGGTCAAACAACTGCAGAAGAACAAGCAAATATGGACAGTGACGTCGTGATGGAGGAAGCAGCAGCCAATAACGACCATTCCAACGCTGGAAGGAGGCGCTTTGCACAACCAGAAGACTAGGCTACTTGGCATTGGTATGCCATCACTTAATGTGCTATCGTTGTGCTCCTGGCTCTCCTCGTAGAGAGAGCGTACTAGTGCATTGATGTAGCTACTGTTGGACATGATAGACGGTGATTGATATTGCTATTGGGGTGTATTTACGGGGGTCTGAAGCAGCTGTGAGTAGATGATGAATGATTGATCTTGGGCTGAATATTCGGCGATGACCGTTGGCCTTCGATCGCTCTAATACATCTGCTCGGGACTCGGCAGTCCAGTCAGTCACGTTACGTCCCCTCTTCTTCTATTTAGGCGACTCTGTTGTAACGTCTCATCTTGGTCTGTTTTCACCTCCCTCTTCTTGATGAATGGCGGCTGGCACCGAACAAGGTAGCCAAAGAAAAATCGCCATAAAACCCTCAATTGCAAATCGGGCTGCAGGGTTCTCTCCAACGTCCAGGTTGCTGGCGAGCGGCTTCAAGTGTCTGACAGTTGCGTCCAGGTCCAAAGTTTGACTAGGTGCTTCGTGGTACGACGGTCAGAACGGGAGGATCAGTCCTCATCTTAGTTGTTGTACACACGTATTTCGGGGGGTAAGGGGGTTGCTATATCTGATCCTTCGTCTTTGGGGCTTCGTCTTCCTGCTACTCTGCCAGTCATGACTTGTACTGCATGCTGCGACATGGAGTAGTTTGTCGATGGCAGCTTTTTGTTGGGTCAACTGGTATTACGGTCTGCTGCGACAGATCGTCGTACATTTTTGGGTCTGGGCCTGGGTCAACTTGTTTGGGGCTATCTAGGGTCTATCGTGGGTAATCTTTGGGTCAGCGTTGGGGCTTTCAAGGTGTATACTGTCTGGGAGTTGCGGGGAGTTTGCATCTGATGCGTGTGACGTGTCGTAACTAGTTATTTATTCCGAATCAAACCGCACATGCCAAACGAAACAACACCGAACAGAGCGGAGGTTTCCAAACAAAACCAAACGACACGAAACCACACGTCTCGTTTTGTTTCGGAATAAAACGAAACGACACGAAACCACGCGATTTCGTGTTGTTTCGTTTGGTTTCGTGTTGTTTCGTTTCGTTTGGTTTTGCTTCGCTTCGTTTCGTTTCGTTTCGTTTTGCTTCGTTTGGTTTCATTTGGTTTTGTTTTGTTTGGTTTCGTTTCGTTTGGTTTCGATATATTCTGAAAAATTGTTCGTTTGGTTTCAATTGGTTTCGATATATTCAAAAATCGTTTGTCTGGTTTCAATATATAAAACAATCAAAGATATTGCGTGTTGTTGGTTCTGCGCCTTCCTTTTCGAGGCGAACGATTTTTGAATATATCAAAACCAATCAAAACCAAACGAACAATTTTTCAGAATATATCGAAACCAAACAAAACGAAACCAAACGAAATGAAACCAAACGAAACCAAACGAAACGAAACGAAACCAAACAAAACGAAACGAAACGAAACAACACGAAATCGTGTGGTTTCGTTTCGTTTCGTTTTATTCGGAAACAACACGAGACGTGTGGTTTCGTGTCGTTTGGTTTTGTTTGGAAACCTCCGCTCTGTTTGGTGTTGTTTCGTTTGGCATGCGCTGTTTGATTTGGAATAAATAACTAGTTACGACGCGTCACACGCATCAGATGCAAACTCCCCGCAACTCCCTGTAGGCTTTGTTTGTTTTGGGTCTACTCTTTTGTTTTTGTTAGCTGTGTTTATCATTTGTGTCGCGCTCGTTTGTGGGCTCTACCTGGTGGTGTTGACTTGGGCGTGATGTTGGCAACTTTTAGTTTCATCTGTGTTGCCGCCTCTCTCACTTTTTCCCACACCACGTCCGGTATTTTGTAATCTCGTTCAAAGTCGAATGGTCCGTATACGCCGTCTTCAACGATGTTGACCTCTTTCTGGAACCAGGCGTATTTGTGCGGGCTCTTGTTTAGCACCTGGTCTACTTTGCTGTGTCTGATGGGTACTGTTGGGCCGTATGTTGTCTCGTCGGTGAATTCTTTGATTAGGGGCCAAAAGGGGCTGGTCATTGGGGAGCCTTGCTTTGTAGTGGTGAGTTTTGGTATGTACCACTCCTTGCAGTGATACTGTCCTTTTGTTCTTGCTAGTTTCTCGTTGGTCTCCTCCATGTTGATTTGTATCACGTACCAGTTGTTCCACCCTGATGTGTTGTCTTGATGGGCTATGACGTATAATTTGTCCTTGGATTGTGTGGTTCGTTCGTATAAGCTCTGTAGATTGAGCTCTTCTGTGATGGTTTCTGTGGTATGGACCTGTCTGGTTTGGTTGGCTCCTTCTGTATCTGTTGGTGGCATGTCTCTGTTAATCGGCCGAGGCTGCGTGCGTTGGATAGCGTCCAGTATGGATGGTGTAGGGGTGTTGTCTTCTTCTTTGTCTGATGAATCTTCCATTGGATCAACTTCTTCGTCCCAAATGTTTTTGATTGGCTCAAATGCGTTTTCTGTGTCTGTCGGTGTTGTCGCGTATTTACCAAAGTCAACCAGTCCTAGATTCATTTCTAGGGGGCTGTGTGCTAGCGGGCTCCTCATGTTTGCTAGTCTTGTATCTGGTGTGTCCACTCATTTGTGTAGTATTGTCGTCGATGGGATCTTGTGCATTCTGAATGCTGATTCTTTGATTGGGGTTGACCCTCGCTTCTTTAGCATGGTGCTTGTCCCTGGGATCTTTTGTAGTCTGTACGAGTCTTCTGACGCTTTCTCGATGAATCTATAGGGTCCTTTTGTTCTTAGCACCAGTTTTGCTGGTATTCCTGCAGAGGCGTTTGATTGTACTTGTTTCCGCACCATAACAATGTCTCCAATGTCAAATTTCCGTCGCGAACTGGTTTGATTCTTGAGCATTCGGTGGTGTTCCCTTTGTTCCTCATTGAGAAGTTTAAGCAGTTCTTTTTGTCTCCAGAAGAGTGGGAACATTGTCTCGATGTGCTCTAGTGTGTTCTGTCCTGGCGTTTGCTGGTGTTGTGTCCTGTTTTTCTGACGCGCCTCCGATATTGACAATGCCGCTGCTGAGTTGTCTAGTGGAAATTTGAAGTGTCGTGCCACTGCGGCGAATGCTCGTTGGATATCCGTGCCGTCTACTGGGGCTGCGTTCCATGCGTATGTTCCAAACATGGTGTTCATTGCCCATTCTTCGTATGTGTTCATGTCGGCTGCTCCGATTCGTTGCACTTTGTTGAGGTATTTGTGGAATCTTTCACATAGTATTCCGTCGTGGTTTTCCGGACTGACCGTGTGGTATGCGATTCCAATCGTGTCGCATAGGGCTGTAAATTGATCTTTGTTTTCGCTGCCTTTGTCGATGAGAATCAATCGTGGCAGGCCTCTGACGGTGAAGAATTGCGAGAATGCTATTCTGGCCATGTTCCCTGAGTTCATGGAGCTGATGAATGCGACCGTGGCGCAACCTGTCATGTTGCAAACGTACGTGACTACTCCTTTGTTTGTGAGTGTCTTCCTCAAAGCTGTGGACAGTTTGGTAGCGTTCTTTGTTGATCCTGGCGACCAAACGTCCATGCAACATCAAATGGTTCTTCTATTGGTGTCTGTTGTAGAATCTTTTGGTTTTTGTGGCTCGACGCGTTGGCTGCATTGCAATGTCCGCATCCTAGGACTGCTTCTCTGATATCCTTTGCCATCCCGGGCCACCAAAACCTTGCGGCTATCCTGTAATACGTCTTGTGGAACCCTACGTGTCCTGCCATTGGTGATGCGTGGTATGCTGCTATGATTGTGGCTCTCAATCTTGGTGGGACGACCGCTCGTCGTAGTTGACGCATTGGTGCCGACTTCGGTTCTTCGAATTGGTATAGGATGCCGTTTTCAATCTCTAGCTTATCTCTGTTGAGTTCTGAGGCATACGTTGGGTTTGTGAGCTTTGATCTGTCTACCTTTTTGTTGTTGCGGATTGCCTTGATGATGTGGCTGATGTCTGGGTCTCCGTTGCATTTCTCTCGCCAGTCTTCTCCTGTTGGGATCGGTAGCGTTGTGAATGGGTTGATGGATCTGCTGACTATCGCTGTTAGGTGTTTCTTAGCATGTTTTGGTCTTGCGTACATTGTCAAGAATTTGTGTTCTGTTTTGTCCGATAGGTGTTGTCGCTGAATGTTTTTGCACATGCTGTAAGTGAACACTTGCTGCCACACCTGTTGTGGTGCCATGCTCTTCATTGTCTCTTTTGTCTCTCTCCAACTGAGTTTCTCCTCAAACAACAGTTTCTGCTGTCCTCTTTTGTGAAACCAAACAGGCTGAGGGCTTCCCAAGGTCTGATCGTTTGGACCGGTGATGTTACCTCTGCGTCGTTGGTTGCGATTGCTATCGTGCCTTGCGCTGAGATCGTGGGTGTTGTGTGGAAGCTGGGGGAGATTTTGTTGGTATTGTAGATCTCATGTTCTTGTGTGTGTCCTTGTGAGTTGACCGTGTGGACTCTGTTTTGTCCTAGCCTTGCCACGTTGAAATATCCCGTGTAGCTTTCGTTTGGTGCGTCCATAGCGTTTTCGATCGTTCCTGTCTGTGCGTATGGATCTTCATCAACTAAACTTCTGCTCCATGCTTCCGTCACTCTTCTCCCGGCTGTGAGTATGATGGTGTGTTCGGTGTCTATGTATGCTTGTGCTGTGCTGCCTCTGGCTGTGCGTGTCGCGGTTTGTAGGTCGGTTCTGTCTCTGGTTTCTCTTTTGATGTATTGTTCCCATTCGTCGACGATCTTGTCGGGTGGCTTTCCTGTCCACATGAGTATGCATTGTGTTGCTCCCTGTGTCGTTGCTTTTCTGATGATGGTGCGAAGGGCCTCCGAGGTTGTTGAGTTGTATTTTTCCATGTTGGTTACAATCAACCATTCTACTGGCGGTTGTGCTGTGTTGTTGACCAGCCTTTTGGCAAACGTTTCAATGTTTGGTATGTCGTGTTGTAGCTGCCAATATTCCTCCTCGCTGGTGCTAGCTGTTAGCATGATGGTTCCTCCAAGTAGTTTGAAGCTGTCCACAATGGTGTCTAGGGATCTTCCAATGATCCATGTTGCTCTTGCTGTGTCGCATATTTGCGCAAGTTCTATGCGTGCTGTAATCCGGTCGCCTTTCACAGTGGGTAGTAGGTGCTGTCTGGGTCAGGGCGGTGCTTTGTCTTCTCTGAGTTTCCATGCCGCCGCAATGATCGGGTTGTCTGTGTGGGCTTCTTCCGTATTCCTCCACGTGCTTAGTATGCCCTCGTATCTTGACAAGAGGTCGCATTCTGTGAGCATCTTTGCTGGTCGGTGAACTATAGTGAAGATGAATGCCAATAGTTCTAGTTTCCATCGTTGCAGTGTGTGTGTGTGTGATGTCGTACTCGCCTTCGAAGAACTTGGTTAGTCCGCTGCAGTCCGTGATCCATGTAAATTCTTTTCCAATGAGCCATTGTCGGAACTTCTTCATCGCCCATCGACCTGTTGCTGCTTCTCCTACAAAGGAATGGTAGTCGCGCTCTTTGCCCTTGCATATTCTTGATATGAATGGTATGGGTCTGAGTCTGAGTTTTGACATTGATTTGTCAAACTCGCATTTTCCTCCTTTGATCTCTTTCCTCATTGATTCTTCTGCTTCTTCGGTTGTGTCCGCTTGTAGGAGGACCGCTCCCATGGCGTTGCTTGACCAGTCCGTTTACAAGTAGAATCGTCTCTTTGGATTGGGTCTCTTCAATATTGGTCCTGTGACAATAGCTCGCTCGGACAATCTCTGTATTGCACCTGTGACTCGAGTTCCTCCCAGTGTTCGTCTGCATTCCATTCTATCATGTCTGTACGCCTCTGCACTGGTGCTTTTTGTTTGATTACCGTCTTTCCATGTTCTTCGAACATCCAATCGTGGGTTGCGGGACTGTCCAAGTCCGCCTC